CTAAAGAGCAAGCTAGCAGCAACACAGGAGGCAGTCTGAGGGTAATAACAGGAAATCTGCATAGGGTCTGGTTGCAAGAAAAAAAGGGCAAATGTGAGAGAAAAGAAAAAAGACAGCAGCTATGAGACAACGGTATTTCAGGTGCTCACAAGGCATTAACACCTGTCATTTAAACAAAATGGTTAGTTTTGTGGATAGGGTGGAAAGAGAGCTACATCCTCACTATCAAGGGAGAATCCTATAAGGGAAGAAGCATGATTTCAAATCTAGGTAGAAGGGCCGGCCCGTGGCTCACTCGGGAGAGTGCGGTGCTGATAACACCAAGGCCATGGGTTCGGATCCTATATAGGGATGGCCGGTTCGCTCACCGGCTGAGCATGGTGCTGACAACACCAAGCCAAGGGTTAAGATCCCCTTACTGGTCATCTTAAAAAAAAAACAAAAACCAAAAAACAAATCTAGGTACAGCCCTGAAATAGAATTGCAATGAACTCATTCATTATTTGAAATTTCTTACTATCCGCAAACTTAACTGTACACGGTTTCATAACAGACAACCTCATCAAGGTGGGTGAAAATTTAAATAGATGGTAAGTGAAGATTATCAACAGGTGATAGGGAGAGATATTATGCAGTCTGCCTGGTATACTGTGTTACTCTATCACAGGGAAAAAATCAAACAGAATCAACTTTCTCTCTCTCGCTTACTAAGTGTGGAAGGAAGTGCTGAATATCTGATGTTTCAATGCATTTACATTTGAAACTCTCTGGAAAATGTTTTTAAAAGACTTTCTGGGTTAGCAAATTCTCTAATTATTCTAATTATCAGTCATGTCCTCTCCACTCATTAAGAAAAACTAATTACAGAGCTGCTGAATATAACATACTTAGGAAAATAATATATACAGTGAGAATTATTTCATTAAGGACCCTATGAATGTTCCACACCTAAAAGGAATGATATAACTCATCTAGATTCTTAAAATATTTGAGTCTTGCAGAATTAGCGACAAACTTGATGAATGTATGCTTCTAATAATGTACAAAAAAATTCTGGAAGGCTTTGTGTGCTTGTTTTATTCATATACTCAGAAAAAGACAATTAAAAATAATTTTTAAAAAGTTTGTAGTTCACACCAGTTTTCATATACACCGGAAAGAAGTTGAACAACTCTAGCAAGAAAAGTTTTAATTAAATTCTATAATTCATCAACAACGATTTTCCGAATAAGATTTGTTTCCTAAAATGTTCTCTATCAACAGCTTGGAAGACACACACTGAATAAGAAAAGGCGTGTTTCTTGTGTACATGACAATTAGGATAAGTCTGTAAATGTTTTTTCACTTGTTTTCTGAGCTTTGATGGGATGGCACCCTATTAAACTACTGAAATTTAAGTAAAAGGAATGTGAAAAGACCCTCCATGAGGGCAGAGACCTTGTCTGTCTTATTGACTGACCTGTTCCTAGCATTTGGGACAGAGTCTGGCACATAACAGGCGTGCAATATTTGTCGAATAAGTGATTATACCTGTGTGTTCCCTCCTTTGGCCTACCGGGGAAAAGCGGATGCAGTACAATAAAATTAAGTAGGCCGGACAGGGTTTATGAGACTTTTGGAAACTGTGAGAATCATTGCTAAAACTGATTCAATGCTAATGTCAACTATGTTATTACTCCTATGAGAAGCTGATGCATAAAAAGAAGTTCGCTTCAGCAATTAGTTATTGAGCCATTATGTTCACTTTCATGCCTCTTGTGAATCTGCTCAGATTTATTACTGAAAACAGTCATCTCTCCTGCTCTAGTTCCTCTGCTTCTCATCGCTCCTCAGCCTACTGCAGTCTATTCCCTGCCCCCAACAATGCTCTGGCCCAGATGACCAATGACCTCCAGTTGCCAAACATCAATGGGTACCAGACACCTCAGTAGTGTTCAATGAGGGTAACCCTGCGCACTCTCCTCCCTGAGCTTCCTGTTCCAGACTTTCCCATTTTGGCTTCTGCTTTAACTTTGCCAATTTCTTTTCTACCTGACACATATGTACGCAACTTACTTAGCTTCTGCCTAGTTGTCTTTTTCCCCTCCTCTTTGGATAGCCTCTTTCTAGATGGCTTCAAATAATATCATTATGCCCATGACTCCCAACACCTCTGTTCTGAGCTCCAGTCTCGATGGCCTGCTAGATATGTCTTTGCCAACTGAAATTCAACATAACCCAAATGGAAATGATCCTCAATCTTTAGCCCCCAGGCTTTTCCCTCCCCATGGTCCCTGACTGTGATGCTGAGTCAGGGACCATGGGGAGGTCCCTGAGCACCTCAGAAATATGTGGGTCACGTGACACCTCATGCCCGCACTCTCATCCAGTCCTTCCTTCTGCTCACTCTGCCCCTGATTTTCTCTAGAACCATCTGCTTCTCTCCCTTGCCACTGGTGCCACCCTCCTTTAATGAACCTCCAGACTAGGCTCCTCATCTCCACCCTTGCCCCGCTCCACTCCAAACGGATCTTTCTAAAGTGAAAATTTTACCTTGTCTAAAACCATCCAATGGCGTCACATTGCTTTTAGGATAAATTCCAAAGTCATTAACAGAGTCTACAGAACCCTGAATGATGTCATCAGTCTTCCTTTCCCATTGCCAACATCTCTTAATAGATTCAATAATGAAGAATAATTCAGGAGGACCTTAAAATATGCATATTGTGAAAAGCTTCAAAAATAAACAAAAAAGCCCCTATAAATATTCTACATCAAATGACTTTTATTTGTAATTTAAAGCAAGTCCTCCTTAATCATATTTATCAAAAATAGCTTTGAAATATCTTTCTTTTTAACCACGAGACTATGAACAGTTTATCATGTAATGATTCTAACTGAAAAACTGATTATTCTTATCAGAGAATGAAGTCATTAGACTTCTGTGAGGTTCCAAAGGTCCTTTCAGCCAGTGAGTCCCAGTATTTTCCAGACTAGTAGAAAAATTAACAGGGCCCCTGCACAAGAAGGTCCAAATTTTTGTTTTAATATCTGCCAAGTGGAGATGTTAAAACAAAACAAAGACAAATCGTAACATCTACCTCGGCCATTATTTTATTTTAAAAAAGAGCATTTAAACAACAATAAAAATTAGAAATCCATAAATCAAAATAAAGACTAACATCCTAAATTAATAATTTTAGTTTTATGCCCTTATTTTTCTCATTTCCTTGAAGACTTGTGAAAACAGCCTCCCAAACTGACACCAGTGGCTACACTAGATTTTGACAACCACTATCTAGGTAAGAACTACATTAAATTTCATTGAAACGTTGTTGATTCTGCTTGTTCTGAATTTAGCTTTTAAAATACTTTTGCTTGAAAAAATAAGATACTGACAAGGAAGGAAAAGCAGGCCCCAACATTTGAAACTGCTCTGAGGTTCACAGCTAGACCTCAATATTATTACAAGCTGGTCTGTCAGTCACAGCCAGGTTATTTTTGTTCTCTCGGACAGAAACGATCTCACAGAACAACCTTGTAATAATCTCTCAGAATAACAGAGGTTACCCTGAGGCAAGATAAAATGAGACAAGGCAAGACCACTTCATGATTTTGTCTAAGCACAGACAGAAACAAAGGCACTGTGCACCCAGGTTCCTATTCATCTGATTTGTTGGCAAAGAAAAGTGCAGTCTTATTGCTTTTAAATAAATGAATTATGAAAGAGCTCCAGACAGGGCGCCAAGAGGCTTGCGGTTGGCATGCTACTGTAAACAGTAACAGTAAGGTAACCTCTTGCTAGAGATTGTCTCACACTAGGCCTATTTCCTCTTCTGTAAAATGAGTCACGCTGGTCCCTTATTGTCTCTTGCAAGTTTGAAGTCTGTGGCCTGTGACTTGTTTGCAGGAAAGAGCCACGGGACAGGCGTTCCCATGACTCGGGAGTGAAGGCCACAGCGGTCACGCTGGAGCCTGCCCTGGGCTGCTCCCACCGCCCAGGCTCGGGACGACTTGGCCTTTCCCTGCAGCGACAGGGCACGACCCTGTGCTGGAACTTCTCCTTCAGGAGAAAGCACCTGGTCTTCAGGTAGAGAAAGCCAAAGTCATCAAGCAGTCTGTCGCTTGATGAATAATGCACACAGGTCGACCGAAACATTTTAACAGTTCGGGATGCGAGAGCCTGGAACTGGTTATTCAAGTACAATCGCTCAAATTTGAGCATGTGTGGATCACACCCAGCCATTCTGTAGAGATTAGGATTTCCCGAAAAGGTGTTCTAGTTCCACCTAGTACGGACTCAGCCGGGGATGGGCTTCACCAGCCTGCTTTGCACTAACACCCCTGCGCCCCAAACCACAGAACCCGTAAAGATGCGGCCCCGACCAGGTGTTCTCACGCCACGCCCTCCCCGCCACACCTGCGCCTGCGCCCCCACCTGCGCCTGAGCCCCCATCTACGCCTTCACCTGCGCACCCACCTGCACCTGCGTCCCCATCTACGCCCCCACCTGCGCCTGCGCCCCCACCTACATCTGCGCCCCATCTGCGCCTGCGCCTCCACCTGCCCCTGCACCTGCTCCCCTGCCTGAGCCTGCACCTGCGTCCCCACCTGAGCCTGCAACTGCGCCCCCATCTGCGCCTGCGCACCCCTCTGGGCTCTTCGGCTCGAGCTCACCTACCGGTGGCGCGTTCTGCGCCACTGCGCAAGTGACAGCCGCGGCCAGGAGGACGAAGGTGAGGCAACTTCGGCCCAGCATCTTTCCAGCCGCCAACGCCGCTCCAAGGGACGAACCTGGGCCCGGAGCAGGCCGCGCCCCTCCGGCTCGTGACCTGCGACCCGGGACTGCACCACGCGAGGCGGGGGTAGGAGGCCGCAGAGGCGACGGGCAGGACGGAGGGGACCGGCCGCTCGGTGGCGTGGAGAGGACGGCAGGGAGAGGCGGCCTTCCGGGCTGCAGGAGGGACGCGCAGAATGAGAGTCAGCGCCCGCGCTGGGACGTGGTGGCGCTCGCTCCCCTAAACGCAGCGCTACCTCCGACCGCGACCCGTCTTTGCCCCGGGAAGAAAGTTGGCCCGAGCGGAGCCAGGTTATTCCTCCTGACCGTGGGGTCACAGACCAGGCGCAGTTGTCAGGGGCTGGGGAGGAGGACACCATCTAACCCATTCGGATACTCCAGACTGTCAATCACCCCCTTGGGCTTTCACGGCAGAGCTGACAAGTCACACAGTTTAGGCTTCAGTCACTTGGCCTTAGACACCGGTGGAACGACCAGGTGGAATCAGCGAACCTTCTTTCAGGGATGCATTCAGCCATTCAGCCCTTGTGTGCTTTCACCTGACCTTAGGTTGGGGGAGCTGAGCTAAACCCGGGAGGAGGGTGGATGCTCGGTGTCTGTATAGCCTGCTCGGGAAAAGCCAGTAGACTGACACAAGTACTTGCTTGGCTTTTCAGGTGCCACCCGAGACGTGAGCGCCTTGGTGCGGTGAGTTACTTAAAAGGACAGCAGGAAATCCTGGCCTCTGGGTTGCACTTTCTGGTTGAGCCTCTGAGATCCCAAACAGCATTTTAAAAAAATGATTCAGTAAAACATAGAACACTGTCACTAAAATCTTCATGTATTTCTTCTTTCTTTTGCATGGGTTTGTGTGAGAAATTGCAGTTTTACCCATTTGTACGACTTCCTTAGAAAATTCAGACATTCTTTTTGTTGGACTTTGGAAAATGAGAAATTGATGGTATTCCCCCCCCCCCCCCCCCTTGTGGAGGGGGGGGGGGGGGGGGGGG